ATTTATTTATTTATCTATTTATTTATTTTTATATATATATATATATATAACTGAGTCACTTTGCTGTACAGCAGAAATGAACACAACATTGGGAATCAATTATACTTCAATAAAATAAATTGAAAAAAAAAAAAAGAGTGATCCCTGTAACTGACAAAACCCAAAAGGGGTAAATAAACTTGTTAAAAACCCTGGACTTTAGAGGGCAGAAGAGTCCTCCAGGGGTGTCTTCCACAGCACCTTGCCCCAGGCAGGTATGTCATTATCATCATCATTTTGCAGAGGAGGTGACTGGAGCCCACAGAGAGGTTAGTCACTTAAATCCCAGCCTGCTTGGCAAGCAGAGGGAAAGTCGAGCTCCAGAGACTTGGGCTGCTAGTATAGAGCCGGCTTATCTGCACCATGCTGCATCAGATGAATATAAATTGGACATTTTAATATTTGGCATAGTTAACAATTTGCTGGGTAGACTTTGTGTTAGTTTCACCATGACTGTTTCTTAATAAAAAAAAAATCTTCTTTGAAAAGGAGATTTTCAAAATCCTTCATACTTAATTGAAGAGCCTGACAATACTGGTAAGTAAAATGATGAGCTACCTCTTTGGAGCTCTTAGTAATGCCAATACCAGGGTGGCCAGGCTGAGGAGACATTAGCTGGAGGGACTCCCCAACCAACAGCACCAGAGATCAGCCTCTGGAACAATAACTGTACACTGCAGAGGGACAAACTAACTCATCAGAGCCAGAGCCTGGCACTTCAGGAAGACTTAACATAAACTTCCCTTTGGTAGATTTTTTTCTAACATAATAACTGCTCACCTGTCCCAAGTTGGCCTCATCCTCAATGTCCGATTGCATCTTATTTTATCAGTAGAATACTTATTTGGGGCACTAGAACAGGTGAAGTGATGTAAAATGATGCTGCACTGTCTAGGCTGTGAAGTCACACGCAGACCCCTCTAGGCTAGGATCACAGCTCCAAGGTCCTTTTACTTTCCTGGAGCCTTAATTTCCCTGTCTGTAAAATGAGACTGATAAGTATCAGGCGAGGCTGCTGTGAGGACTGGATTATAGGTATATGAAGTGCCCGGCACATTCCACAGATGTTCAGTGAAGGAATGACATAACTTAAAATATCCCTTACTCAAGGCTATTAAAGTTTCCCCATATAAAATAAGTTAAAATGAAGACTGATCAAAGATAAATAAACTGGAGTTGGAGAGTGAGATCAATTGATCCATTAACAGTTTCCACTAATACAATGCCATCACCCATAACAACATGGGTTTCTTATGTACTGCACATATATTTCCTTTAGAAACAATGAAAATATTATGAATGGACATGAGTCCAGATGTCTCTGGGAGTACATTAGAATACCGGGATTGTTTATATTACTGGCTAACTGAAGCTAGAGAGAGGAAGACGCCTGTCCCTCAGTGGCGTACACTTGACCCTTTTTCCTCTAAGGAAGCAATATTTCCTTTTCTTTCATCGAAGGTTACATAGCGAAAAAATGAGAGAGATTGTCTCCTGGGACTAAAAGGATGTCCTTAGTGCTAATCAGGCAATGACTTTTTGGCCATCAGGGTTCACTACATGGAAGCACTGTGCAGGCTGAAAGACAAAAGCAGCGAGCCTTTAGGAAGAGCTTTTAGGAAGGCGTTAGTTCATGGATTCAAAAATTTTATCTAGGCTTTGACTTCAGCAATTAAAAGATGGTGTATGTGGCTAAGAGCACGAGGAAAATATAGAAAAAGGAAACAGTTTGCTACATTAGGATGGTCAGGTTGTGGAATGTTTTGTTTTGAAAAATAATTTCTCTTGTTGTAGAAGGTACTTTTACTATTACAAACAGTAACCATTGAGAAAGCACGTTTCAAAACTTTACGTTCATAAAAAGCTTTGCATAAAATGACAGGACACGTAGAATGGGAAAAGTAATATGTAGCATCCAAATTGTTAGCTCAGTCATTGTCTTCTGGCAGAGAAAAATTAAGCAGAATGCCAACTATGCATTGCTACGTTTGTGGTATAGTAAATCCATATGTCCTCAGAAAGTAGGAAACCAGGCTAAGCAGGCAGATTTAAGAAATGGTCAAGCTTAAAGATACACAAACTATAACTCATATTAGTGAATAATAACTGATAGGTTTTGTTAAAATGCACATACTAAATTTTCATGAAATACTTTTTAAAAAAGCTTTGTGTCTGACTGTTACCTCTGAAGGTCTTATTATATGCCGTTTGCCTCTTGGAGCTTCAAAAAAGAGTTGTTCTTTGGCACCTGAATTAACTTGCAGTAATTTCCCTGTTATGGTAGAATAAAGTAGGAAGACAATTAAACTCTGCATTTATCTTTTTGTTATAAAGTGATGAGCATGATTGCAACTATTTTGATTCATTTTAATCAAAGTCTCATAAACTGACTAAATATATGTTGAATGATCCAGAAGTGCATGTAAAGACAATTACATGGCAAGGTACAAACTCTAAAGCTATGATTTTTAAAAATACGAACCTCATAAAATCCGACCTTGAACATCCTTCAAAACTAGAAGAATCAAGCTTGCTGTGTTTTCCTCTGTTGCATTGAAAGTAGCTATTTTTCCAAAGCCTGACAAAATTTTTTTTTTGCTCTTTTCCCCTGTTGCCTCCTAGCACAGAAATGTAGTAAAAGCAAACTGCTTTGGAAAGAATTATGGCACTGGAAGCAAGAACCTCGTAAGCGTTTGTGCTTACTAGGATATAAATTCTAAATTTGCCCTTTAACATTTAGAAACAGGAAGACAAGGACACATAAAACAAACTGTAAATGCTCATTCCATTTCCCCCTTCCTTTTTTACTTGAAAATTTATAAAGAAATCTGAGACTTTTCCCAAAACAAAATGTTGAGCAAAAATAGTCTTTCGGTCTGATGTAAATTTTTAATCTTGGACTCATTTTGATTAATGTTGAAAAATATTAGATTTCTTAATTCTCCTCCTATCATATCAATGATCCTCTATGGCTTGAAAATTTAAATGACTCAAAAGATCTACTTTCTAGTATTTTTTCAGCGTGTTTTAAACGATGGGAAGTCCAAAACATATATGGAAGTAACAGTATAAAGAAGCCCTATGGGGCCAATGTCCAGCCTCGATGGTTATTAGCACATGGCTGGCCCTGGTTATTAGCACATGGCTGGTTATTAGCACATGGCTGGCCCTGCTGCAGGAACCTCCTCATTCCCTCACCCCAGATTACTTTGAAGAAAACGTCAGATATCCTAACATTTCATCTGCAAATAATTCAGTGTACGTATGCACACTAACGTTTCCTACTCTCTCTCTTTGTTGCATAACCATTTATATCTAGTAGCCTTGAAATGTCCTTCGTGGAAAAAATAATAGCAAAATAAGAACTCCGTGTTACATCATGTTCTTTAAAGTTTAAGTGGGTACCACCTAGGTCTGAAATCTAGTTTGGCTAAACTTCAGGAGTTGCAGGTCTGTTTCTAAATGACTAATTAAAAACAAGGTTCTCTCATTTCCTAAATGAAACCTGGATCATTTCCAGTTTGCTGAGTTATAAAATAGTGATTAGGGGGTTTGCCTTGGCTGTGAGGAGCAAGTAAATTTGAAAACGTTTTCTCTGAAATGGGCCCGTCTTCCGGACCTTATGGCTCAACATACACAAATCAGAAAAGAAAAAAGGGAGTTAAATGAGCTTTGGCTATTTAGCATTATATGAAAATGAGTAATCAATATTTTTCCAATGAACTAGATATATCTGCAAAGTATACTTTTAGAATTCTCAAGAGCGACTGCAAATAACAAAGGATGTGGGAAAAGGATTAAAAGAGTCAATGAAAACATTCTTTGAATATAGATAATTTTAGATATTTTGGCCATGAGATCGATACTAAGAGAACTCAAAGGATTGTAGCTCTCGGATAATCCTAACAACTCACTTTACACCACAGCTTCAAAGATCATGCTTTACTTTAAAAACAACCCAAAAACTATAAAAATAGCTCAGGGAAGTATTTTCTGACTGCAGGAATGTTTACAAAACTACTTCTGCAAGCACCAGAAATGCTTTGCAGCTCCACAGACACCTGTGGGTACCTACCAAGCCCACGCCCTTCCCTGAGAACTGCCCTGCACCGTGGGCTGGGCCCCTGCGGTCTTGTCTGCACTCTGGAGGTGGACGTTGACCCAGGAGCGACCAGGCTGGAGACTAGGCTAGACAGTCAAATTCTCTCTCCTGGGAAATTGGAATCTTAGGCTGAATCAGTGGGTGCCTTGCTGGGAGGAGATGTAGCCTTTGGGACTGGGGGTGGCATTTGGGGGCAACAGAAAGTGGGTCTTGTGCAAATGAATTAGGGAAAGCCGGCCTGTGCAGAGAGAGGGACCACAAGCGGGCACCAGACCCAGGAGACCAGTGGACACTGAGACGGGCTGCCTCAGAGCAGGAGAGGAGGAGAGGGGAGCTCCCTGGCTGGGTTCTAGGCATTTTCTGATTCATTCCTAAAGCCAGTTCTTGGAAGATGTGGCTTCCTCCTCTTGGATTCTATGAAATATCCCTATCTTTCCAATAAAGTCATTCTTTATTCTTATTTTTAAATTTAAGCTGGCTTGAGTGGGTTTCTGAAATCAGGGATATGAAGAAATTTTTAAAAAATCAATTATTCTTGTGTTAGGAAGGTAGAATTATGGGTGTGTTTTCCCCCCCAAAATTTTCTTTACTACTGTTATTAAACTGTATTTTTTTTTTTTTTTTTGAAGCACAGAGGAACGATTTAGGTCACCACTCCTTTTTTTCCACTGCCTGCTGCTCTGTAATATATAACCACGGAAATATTCTGAAGACAGGAGCAGAAGCAAAGAGCAAAAAGTATAATTTGCCCCTGAATAACAATAACCCTATTCTTTTAGAATCCTCACATTTTTATTAACAAGAAATGTCTATTCACACAGAATAAGAGAATTGAGATAGCTGTCCCCATCACTAAGCAGGTACAGTAAATCACACATATTGCAGGTGCCTAGAGCTTTATAATCCAGAGTGATTCATACCTGTCACCCCGGTTGCTATAGAATTTACAAGTTAGAACAATTCCAAAATTGGTACTAAATAAACCAAACACATCAGGGCATTTGCAGTGAAAATGGGAATGAGATGTTCTATCATGGCTCAAACTGTTAGTTGGTAAAAGATCTTACAGTCCTGATATTTCTGGAAATGAACTAACAGCAGCGAGAAAATACCCTTCCATGTTTCCTCTCTTTCCATTTATATTTTTTCTTTCTCAGGCATTCTGTGCAGGAGCTTTTATTCAGGGGTAGCTGCTGTTCCTGCACAAGCCCGATGAGCTTTTCAGTTTTCCTGGGACCTGAGGTTGCCATGGACACGGAAGGCTGCGGAGGCTGGCGGCTGTGCCATTCCCCACCCCTGACGAGCCAGCTGGCTCCGGCAAATGTGTTCACTATTTTTGACAAGATCAAAGGAATGAAACAGATCCCTGCATCTAAGTTCTGCTCTCTTCCCTCTGTAGGCCCTCGAGGCCCTGCTGTGAAAAGCTAGGCTGATCTTGAGGCAGCCTGGCACGTGCTGGAGGGTAGGCATTTTAGGAACTGGGAGATCAGGAGCAGAAGAATATCAATATGACACACGTCTCGTGGCAACAAAATTGGAGTTAAACCAGGGAAGATTCACGGGTACACTTGCTCTTATTCTCCAGATGGCATAACTCCTCCCTAAAAATCAAAAATATTCTGTTCTCCTCTCAGGCCACAGAAACCATTTGGTCTGATCCTCTTAACTAACTGAAGGGGCCACTTCGGATGAGAGGCAAAGTGGCTTTTTAAAGACCCTGGCCTCCTTACTCTGTCTTTCCCATCGCCCTGTGTGCTAGTTGGACCACAGACTCTGGCTTTGGGCAGAACTATGGAAATAGTGAGGTTTGCCTCTCTCCCTGCAAAGTGATGGCTCCACACTGAGGACCTTAAAACCGACCTCCGCCCAGGCCCCTCTATGGTGGCAGCCCACCGATCCCCACCAAGGGCTTATTCTTCCCATCCGGAGTTAATTCCTCTTTATATCCCTACATCTGACAGAGGGCCTACAACACATTTAAAGAATAAAAAAAAATAACCTTCCTCAAATGTAAATACAACTGCAATGTCCCATCTCATCGCCATTTAGGATAGCTACTATCTATCAAAAACAAAACAAAAGAGAAAATAACAAGTGTTGGTGAGGATGCAGAGAAGTTGAAACCCTGGTGCACTGTTGGTGGGAGTGTAAAATGGTGCATCTGCTGGGGAAGACAGTATGGTGGTTCCTCAAAAAATTAAAAGTGGAATTATCATTTTTTCCAGAAATTTGACTTCTGGACATATACTCAAAAGAACTGTATACCCTGTTCATAGCAGCATTATTCACAATAGCCAAAAGTTGTAGGCAACCCAAGTAACCACTGATGGATGAATGGATAAACAAAATGTGGAAATAGGCAGTCTACCAGGAAAAGAATTCAGAATAATGATAGTAAAGATGATCCAAAATCTGGGAAATAGAACAGACAAAATGCAAGATACATTTAAAAAGGACTTAGAAGAACTAAAGATGAAACAAACAACAATGAACAACACAAAAAATGAAATTAAAAATACTCTAGATGGGATCAATAGCAGAATAACTGAGGTAGAAGAATGGATAAGTGACCTGGAAGATAAAATAGTGCAAATAACTACTGCAGAGCAGAATAAAGAAAAAAGAATGAAAAGAACTGAGGACAGTCTCAGAGACCTCTGGGACAGCATTAAACGCACCAGCATTCGAATTATAGGGGTTCCAGAAGAAGAAGAGAAAAAGAAAGGGACTGAGAAAATATTTGAAGAGATTATAGTTGAAAACATCCCTAATATGGGAAAGGAAATAGTTAATCAAGTCCAGGAAGCACAGAGAGTCCCATACAGGATAAATCCAAGGAGAAACATGCCAATACACATATTAAGCAAACTGTCAAAAATTAAATACAAAGAAAACATATTAAAAGCAGCAAGGGAAAAAAAACAAATAACACACAAGGGAATCCCATTAAGGTTAACAGCTGATCTTTCAGCAGAAACTCTGCAAGCCAGAAGGGACTGGCAGGACATATTGAAATTGATGAAGGAGAAAAACCTGCAACCAAGATTACTCTACCCAGCAAGGATCTTATTCAGATTTGATGGAGAAATTAAAACCTTTACAGACAAACAAAAGCTGAGAGAGTTCAGCACCACCAAACCATCTTTACAACAAATGCTAAAGGAACTTCT